ACCCTCATCCTCTGGGACTCAGGCAGCGTTGCTGTGGGTGGAAAGACCTTGCCCCCCCAGCCTGCAGCTTGATGAGCCTTGTTCATCGCATTCACACGCTCATGCACCTGATGACCGATTTCGTGCTGTATGACGTCCCGCAGCGCTGCAGACATCTCATCGCTGCCGCCTTTATCAGACTTGTCCTCGTTTTTGCTCCCCGTGCCCACACCTCGCCCTCTGCTGCGATTGCATCGCACCTTTTTCACCACGATTCTGATTCCCGCATACTCCTCAATCAGTTGTGGCCATAAACATGCCACTCCCACAGTGAGCGCTGCCCCTCCCACTGCTGCCGCAGTCAACAGAGCAGCATATGGGGAGGACACTGAGGAGCTTGCTCGTCCCGACCCCCTTAGTGCATTTACCATAGATGCGCCCCTGTGCTGTTGGTTGTGGCACCGCAACGGCATACGCATGAGTATGTCAGTCATTTAATAGCAACATCGAGACATGTGTCACGAGTCCGGTCGTTTTTGCCCTACATTTCCAGAATCAGAGGTAAGAATCACGGGGCGCGAAGGTCATCATGACCTCCGCCTGAGCTTATTCCACAAATCAAATGACGACCAGCCTGTCACCTGACAGGCAATCGTACCTGAACCATCCGTGCCATACATGTGTGCCGTCAAATTAGGATTATAACACGAACCGTGACCGTCGGTGCTTGCTGGTCGCGGCTATTTTAAAGTGCTGTGTTCACTCGCTCGACGCGCCTGCTGCCCCTGCATGTTTGTTCTTCCTCCCCTGGTTGACCTCCCTCCAAGCCTCTTTCTGGCCGTGGCCGTCATCGATTTCTCTTCACACGTTTTATGTACACGCTTTTAGGGGGACAATGTCAGAAAGTCATGCTGGGCTGGACGGCAGGCCCGGCGCGTGTTACGGACACCGCGCGCCGTCCTTCGTCCCCACTGGTTTCCTGGAGAGTCTGGCAGAAACGCAGAGCACAAGCCGCTTCAATCTTTTGCTTTTGGAGCACGGGGAGGTGTACTTTGGTAAGTGTCGGCGGTTTTCTACATGTTGACGACACATTTGATTTCGTTACCATGAAGAAAAGGGCTGTTTACGCGTGCGTTGACGTTCTAGGGCTGGGAGGAAGCGTAGGGCGGGGCAATCGATGCAGAGATTTATCTATACATGGGAAATACTGCATAATTATAGAGATGAGTGAAGCTCCAGCCTCTGCCCTGCTTCAAATATTGCTGTCCAACTCTCGGCCTCCCGCTCACTGTTGCCCTGCTCGCTTTCCCTTGCCCCTCCCTTGCCTCCAGGAGACTACGCGGTCGTTCGCTTCCGACCCAAAGGTCGCTCTACGATCAAAGTGCCCGGCCGTCTCAAGGTCTCATCGCGGAGTCTTGTCTTCGACCCTGTCAACGATGTCTCCCAGGTGCGGCGCGCATTTCCTCCTTCTGCCCTTCCCTTCGTCTCCTCATTCCTATTGCAAGCACTGCCACTTTCTCCCCTTGCCTCCTCCCTTCCTGCCTCCCAGGCCTCTCGTCTCTGCTTGAGTTTGTTTCTTTTTCAAATAAGCTTGTCCGCCACGTGCATTGCGGAGCGTTGAAGGCGGACAGCTTC